GTGTGTATGATGCATGATGCATGTACGTATTCATTATATGCATGCTATATGTACATATGTATTTATGTACGTATGCATGTATGTGTTTTTTTTAATGTATGTGCGCTTGTAAGTGTCTTTCATTATATGTTTATCTACATCGTGCTCTTTTCTTTGAAGGCGGGCCAGCCTCTGAGATGTGAAAATTCCGTGTCTAACCGGAGGCGGCTTTCTCTCACTCTCTTTGGCTAGTTTTTTTGCATCCAGCCAAGAATAGTCACTAGGCGGCCTGGCTCTTTCTCTCTCTCTCTCTCTCTCTCTCTCTCTCTATATATATATATATATATATATATATATATATATATATATATATATATCTTTCTATTTGTCTGTCTATCTATCTCTCTATCTACTTCTCTTTCTCTCTCTCTCTCTCTCTCTCTCTCTCTCTCTCTCTCTCTCTCTCTCTCTCTCTCTCTCTCTCTCTCTCTCTCTCTCCCTCTCTCTTCTCTTTCTCTTTCTCTCTCTCTCTCTCTCTCTTTCTCCTCTCTCTCTCTCTCCGTCCCTCCCTCCCCTCCTCTTTCGTTAATTCTCCATTCCTCACTCCTTCCCGAACATAAAGAAAACACTGGCGTAATCGTCTGAGGATTCCCACGTCGCCGCTCTAATTAGCGTCCGGCCCTCATTCGCGCCGCCGAGCTACGTTCATCACCAGCTGATTGTTGGCATTGCGCAGCGGGCGGGCGACTCTCCTTGCGCCGCCTTCGCTTCGTTTTCGTTGACTCTGTTTCGTTTGAGTCGACTAATGGCCGAGTCTGAATCCCTGTGCGGTGAGCAGGAAACGGGTAAAGACAATGGGAAAAGGAAAGAAAAATTAAAGAAAATTAGGAAGGTGGGCTGTGGGTAGGAAAGAAATGAAAGAAAAGTATTAATGAAATTCCAGTGTCTGAAGGTTTAATAATTTTGAGAGATATTCCGAATAAGAATCCAAACAGAGAGAGGCAGCCATAGGAAAGAAGTTTATATTTGTCTATCCTCTTCAAGGGAAAGAGGGAGAAAGAAAACGGGATTTGTCGACGGCCGAGTCCCGTTCCGAGATCCTTCGATTCCGTGCTTGAATGGACCAATTACGTCGCCTTGATCCAAAGCAAGAAACGCCTTGTCACGTAACAGCTCTTCCGTCACTCCTCCCGTCACACTGCGCGTTACGCCACCCACGTCGCCGGCCTCAGGGAGCGGGCGGCGATTGCGCGGCGATCGAAAAGGAATCGTTGCGTGCAACTGCTGCCGCGGGCGAAGCGTCCCTCGATGCCTTCGCACTGCGGCTTCTCCACTAGCTGTCTTATAATTTATATATAAATATATATGTGTGTATATATACATATATAGATAGATAGATAGAAAGAGAGAGGGAGAGAGAGAGAGAGAGAGAGAGAGAGAGAGAGAGAGAGAGAGAGAGAGAGAGAGAGGTAGACAGATAGACAGATAAACGTGCACACACACATACATGTACATTATATATATATATATATATATATATATATATATATATATATATATATATATATATATATGTATATATATATAAATATAAAGGGAGAGAGAGAGAGAGAGAGACATATGTGTGTGTGTGTGTGTCTATGTATATATATATGTATATATATACATATGTCTGCGCGTGTCTATATATATATACATATATATGTATGTATATATATATATATATATATATATATATATATATATATATATGTGTATATATATACATATATATATATAGAGAGAGAGAGAGAGTTATGTAAGCAGTGTAACGTTTTTTTCTGTCATCTCATGCAAACGTTTTACAAAACCATATCTGTCCGTCCCATGCCACAGTAAATACATTATTCATGCGTAATAACTGGAAGTAGATCACGAACAGTAAACCGGAAACAGGCGATCCCCTTCGCAACGCCTGGAAGTCACGATGACAAACATGCTTCCAAAAACACATCTCACTACAGACTCCATTTCCCGCAAGAGCTTCCCGGCCCAAAGGGAGGTTTCCCGTTCGGTGACAGTCGCACGCGCCACTCTTTTCACTCTTTCCTGTTTATGGTTCCTTCGGGGGGGAGAATCAAATTACAGGTTTTCTCTTGCGCGCGATAATGATGAAATGAAAGACAATACTTTTTCACGATGAGAAAAGCCTAATTCTGTGTTCAATAGGCATGTGGATAGTGATATATATTAGATCGTTTCGTGATTACAATTTTTTTTTTTTCATTTCACCTCATCGTTATAATTTTCTTAATCATAATTTCTCAAATAAAAGAATGCAGAAACGTCTCCCGGTGCCATTCGAAGCAAACAAACCCACATAGAACCGCAAACACCGGCACCCCATATAAACCGAGGCATTTGCAAAGGTTACACGCCCGCAAAGGAGACGCCCCCCCCCCCACCCCGCCCGCCCGTTGCCCAATAGGCCTTTGGTGTGAAACGGCGACTCATGACCACGTGCTATGGTTGTCAGCGGCCT